TTATTACCCAGGCTGGAGTGCAATGGCATGATTTCAGCTCACCGCAACCTCCACCTCCTGGGTTCAGGCAATTCTCCTGCCTCAGCCTCCCAAGCAGCTGGGACTACAGGCATGCACCACGATGGCCAGCTAATCTTTTGTATTTTTAGTAGAGACGGGGTTTCACCACGTTGACCAGGATGGTCTCGATCTCTTGACCTCATGATCCACCCACCTCCGCCTCCCAAAGTGCTGGGATTACAGGCTTGAGCCACCGCTCCGGGTCCAGTCACCTTCTTTTGGATGGTCCAGGCAGAGGACCCCAGGGGCGTTGGAGGCGCTGGGTCCTGCCTCCTGTGCCCCAATCCCACTGGTCAGCTTCCTGGGAAGCTGGGGAATTAAATGTGTGGGTGTGAACGGCTCTCCTGGCGGGTCATGGGGGGCTGTGCACTTTCCCTTCTCTTCCTTCCTGCCCCTGCCCTCTTCTACCCCATAGACACAGCATGACCATTTAATGGTTATTTCTTGATGATATGCTAAGCGAGGGGTGGAATATTCATGCCTCCCCTCTTTAAACCACCTAGGGTAACTTCCTGACGTGGCCATGGCACTCGTAACTGTCCTGGCGCTGGTGGGAGTGTAGCCGTGAGCATGACCAGAGGTCACGCTTGTGAACATCTTGGTTTTGGGGCTTTGGCCAGCTCCTTTATGGCACCCTGTTTTATCAGCAAGGTTTTTATGACCTGTATCTTGTGCTGACCTCCCATCTCATCCTATGACTTAGAATGTCTTCACCACCTGGGAATGCAGCAGCCAGGCAGGTCTCAGCTTCCTTTTACACAGCTTCTGTTCAAGATGGAGCTGCTCTGGTTCACGTGCCTCGGGCGCTTCTGCTGCTCTTGGTTCCTTGGGCCATTCTCCGGCCACACCCGCCTCCCACAGCTCTGGTCTCAATGACCGTGGATGGCTATTGCTGACTCATGGATGGCATGCCTCAGAATATGCCATTCCATGTCTGGCCTCGTTAGACGTGTGTCTTTTTTGTGTGTGTGTGATGGAATCTTGCTCTGTGCCCAGGCTGGAGTGCAATGGCGGGATCTTTGCTCACTGCAACCTCTGCTGCCTGGGTTCAAGTGATTCTCCTGCCTCAGCCTCCTGAGTACCTGAGATCACAGGCACACGTCACCATGCCCAGCTAATTTTTATATTTTTGGTGGAGATGGGGTTTCACCATATTGGTCAGGCTGGTCTTGAACTTCTGACCTTGTGATCTGCCCGCCTCAGCCTCCCAAAGTGCTGGGATATCAGGTATGAGCCACTGCACCTGGGGGGCAGATGTCTTTTGAATTTGTTCTCCAGTCTGTGCTTTACCTCTTCATTTTCTTAACAAAGCAGAACATTTTAATGTTGATGAAGTCCAGGACTTCATCAGTTTTAATGTGTATGGTTAGCTTTCGGGGACGGTTTGAGAAACGTTCTCCTGACCCGCAGTCGTGAAGGTACTCTCTGTGTTTTCTCCTTGAGGAGCGAAGATTAGTTTTTGGGAGTGTTGTCAGGCAGCAGTTACAGTTGTCCTCTCCACGCGGACGTACAGTTGTTCTCGCACCGTCCCCACTGAGGTGCTTCGGAGCTTTAGTCTAAATCAGTTGGCTGGATGGACACAGGTTTTTGGAGCCCAGGGGGCGGAGAAAGTGGCAGGAGGAGCTGGCGGGAGGGATTCTCCTGCCTCAGCCTCCCAAGTAGCTGGGATTACAGGCATGCGCCATCACGCACAGCTAACTTTTATATTTTTAGGAGAGATGAGGTTTCACTGTATTGGCCAGGCTGGTCTTGAACTCCTGGCCTCATATGATCCACCTGCCTCAGCCTCCCACAGTGCTGGGATTACAGGCGTGAGCCACTGAACCAGCCTCGGATGCCAGTTCCTTTGACTTGATGTCCTCTTTCTGTTTTACAGAATTAAAACAAGGAATTTCTCAAGACTTGGCTTCTTCCCCCAAATTAGACAGATACAAAGTAGCAAGGCAGTTAACAGAAAAAGCAATCAAGGTAAATGCTCCTTGGGACTCCATGGGGAGGGGGACACTTTTTTAAAAAAAGTTTGTTTTGGAACTTGGAGTCTGTTCGTCTGGCGTCTGAGAGCCACAGCCTCCTCCCTGTGGGACTTGGCTGGAGTTACATTTATTTATTTGTTTATTTGTTTGTTTGTTTGTTTTTGAGACAGAGTCTGGCTCTGTTGCCCAGGCTGGAGTGCAGTGGCACAATCTCAGCTCACCGCAACCTCTGCCTCCTGGGTTCAAGCAATTCTCGTGCCTCAGCCTCTTGAGTAGCTGGGACTACAGGTGAGTAGCTGGGACTACAGGTGCACACCACCACACCTAGCTAATTTTTTTATTTTTTAGTAGAATTGGAGGTTTCACTATCTTGGCCAGGCTGGTCTTGAACTCCTGTCCTCAGGTAATCCCAGCACTTTGGGAGGCCGAGGCAGGTAGATCACGAGGTCAGAAGTTCGAGACCAGTCTGGTCAATATAGTGAAAACCCATCTCTACTAGAATTTTAAAAAATTAGCTGGGTGTGGTGGTGTGCACCTGTAATCCCAGCTACTTGGGAGGCTGAGGCAGGAGAATTGCATGAACCAGGGAGGCAGAGGTTACATTTAGCCGAGATCATGCCATTGCACTCCAGCCCTGGAGACAGTGTGAGACTCTGTCTTAAAAAAAAAAAAAAAAAAAAAAATTAGCCAGGCATGGTGGCAGGCACCTGTAATCCCAGCTACTCGGATACTCAGGAGGCTGAGGCAGGGAGAATCGCTTGAACCTGGAAGGTGGAGGTTGCAGTGAGCCGAGATTGCACCACTGCACTCTAGCCTGGGCGACAGAGCTAGATTCCGTCTCAAAAAAAAAAAAAAAAATTACATATTGGGCGACAGGTGCCCCAAAATCTTAAAAATCACCACTAAAGAGCTTATCCATGTAACCAAAATCCACCTGTTCTCTGAAGACGATTGAAATAAAAATATCCTCTTGCCATCTTAGGAGAAGAAGATTTTCTCTATCTACAGACACTGCCCGGTGGTGCATGCGGCTCTGTGGAGGAAGGGCTGGGTGGAGAAGAAGTTCCACTTCTTGCCCAGGGTCATTGCTGATGTCGAGGATGGAGGCACCAGGGTCGCTGGTAGGGTATTGGAGGCGCGAGTCTCAGTGCAGCACGTGCCTGTCTGCCACGGGCACTGGGGGGGAGGGTCTGTGCCAATCTGAGTGTGCTGACTGCCCTCGAGTCCTGATGTGCATGATGGAATCTCTCTGACTCCAGGTCTCCATCCTCCTCCTGGCCTCCTTGCCCCAGGTGGTCATGCAGGGCAAACCCTTTCAAGCCCCTGGCACTGCTCCCTTCTCAGTGTCCCTGTGGCCCCCACCCAGGCTGGGCCTCCTCCTGGGTCCATAGTCTTGCTCTGCCCTGCCCAGCCATCCCTCCTCCGGCCCCAGCTCCCCGAAGTCCACTCCTCAGGCCCCCACGGTACCACTGCTCCTCACTGACCGTCTGCACAACTGTGTCCGTGTCCTCTTGGCCCCAGTGAGACCCAGATCAAATGTCCCCCTCTTCCCCACCCCTGCCTGGGACCCCATGGCCTCCATCACACCCACCCCCACCCCGGGCTGTCTCTACCGTTCCACACCCCAGGACACTTGGGCCTCCAGGAATCCTGGGACTCCATGCCCTGTCACAGCCCTGGTGGGATTGCTGTCCTGTGGATGCTCACTGGATGTGTGGGGGTAGCTGGGATGTCCCGAGCCTGACCCAGCACCCACAGAGGCACCTGCTTCCCCAGGGGAAGTTGCCGTCCTGCCTGCAGTGGTGATAATGGAGTGCTGGGGGAAGTCTGGCGGAGGATCTATGTTCAGGCCTCCCGCTGTGTCTCTTTGGCAGATGATAAACATGCTGAAGTGAAAGAAAATAAACGGCTTTGGAGAGAATAGAGGACATCCACGATGTGATGGTACATCCCCTGCATGCGTCCTAATCAGCCTCAGCTTCTCCACAGCTTCTCACACCATCACCCTGCTCTGTGCCCACTTGCCCATGTCCTGGAGGATGGCAGCCCAGTGGGGGCAAAACCCCAGTCACAGCAGGGCCCCTTGACCTGGGGTGGGGCAAGCCCTCAGTGCTGGATGACCCGCTGTGTAGGGGGCAGACCTGGTGTGCCCAGCTCCCTCTAACCACACTGGGCTGGCCTGCCACGTGATCGTGGAAGCTGAGGGCCTTCCCGGCATGTGAGTTGCAGGCCAGGCCTGACCAGCGAGTAAGCTGGGGTCTCCAGCAACACCGCAGTGTGCCCTCCCACCTCCCCAGCCCAGCCTGGTTCCTCGGGGACACCTCACGCTCCCCCATAAAGAGGGTGAAAGAGAAACCAGAGTGGGAGGCAGCATTTGTAGTACTTACAATTTAAAAGATCAAATATCTAGGATATGTAAAGAACTCACAAATCAGTAATGAAAAGGCAAGCAGAAAAATGGGCATAGACTTGATTGGGAGCCTCCCCCGAGGCCAGCAACCTCACTCTTCCAAGTTCCTGGGGTCAGTGCCATTCCCACAGACCCCGTGAGTGCTCCAGCAGCTCTGCAGGTCCCGGGAAAGAACATTCCTCACTGCTCTGGAGGCTGGAGTCAGCTGACCCCTGCCGGGTCAGGGGCAGCATGGCTGGGCTGGTGAGGGCGCCCTGCTTCACAGACTGCTGACTTCTTTCTGCATCCTCACACGGGCAAGGGTTTTTCTGGGGCCACTTTATAAGGGCCTCATGCTCACGACCTAATCCTAGAGCCCTGCCTCCTATGCCATCGCCTGGGGGTGAGGACCGCAACACATGCATTTCCGGGGGACGGAAACATTCTGCTCACTGGGTGTGGAGGAGAGAAATGCAGGTGGCAGTTACCTGACTGGGGTGACTGGGGGACTTTGGTTCTGTTGACGATGCTGTTTCTCACCCCAGGATGCAGTGGTTAGTGATTAGCGGTTAGTATGCTATTATTTACACTTTTATATTTTTCTTTT